CCCATTTTGATAAAGTTAGATTGCGTTTACTCAGAGACTCAATAATGAGAAATGTATATAAATTCAAGTCGTTAAAAGAATTTTCACATGTTGGACTGAACTATGATTTAACAAAGGATCAGAGGCAGGAATTCAAATCATTTGTTGATAAAGCTAAAGTTATGGAGCGAGAAGAAAACAATCAAAATTTTTTGTTCAGAGTGAGAGGACAGGTAGGGAGATGGAAGATTGTAAAAATACAGAAAAAACCAGTGTTAATATAAAATATGTCAAGAATTTAGAAATAAATGATAACAATGATAAAGACTGCAACATAATAAATCGTAATTTAACACTAGGTTTATTGAACATTAGATCATTGATTTCTAAAACAGATACGATCTATGATTTGATTCATGATGGGCTAGATATTTTCGTTTTAGTCGAAACTTGGCACGGATCTTCGAATAACATTTCTGTTAAATCATCAATGCCACCAGGATATAGTTATGTTGATTTTTTAAGAATAAATGATCCTCACCATGGGGGTTTAATTATTTACTTCAGTAATGAATTTAAGTTTAAGAAAATAGATCTGCCAATATTTAGTTCATTTGAAGCACATGCTGTTAAATTATTTATTAGCAACAAAGATTTTGTTCTATCAGCCCTCTACAGGCCAGGATCAGTTTTAGTTAGTAATTTATTTTTTGAAGAATTTTTATGATTACTAGAAAATATCACTTCTTTTAGTTTAAATATCATACTTTCGGGCGATTTCAACATTCACCTTGAGAAACAGGAAGATCGTCATACTGTAAATTTATTGGAAATATTAGAAATGTTTCAATTAAAAAATTTGATCGACGAACCGACTCATGAGCATGGAGGTATTCTTGATCTGATTATTTGATCTCAAGATTTTCAGATTTCAGATATTAAGATTTTTCCCAGTGGGACTTTTTCAGACCATAGTTTAATTCAGGTTAACATACCATTAACTCATAAGCGTCCTAAAATAGTCAAGAAACAAGTTAGATCCTGGAAATACCTAAATGAAAGCAATCTCATTAAATATATACAGACTTCTCCATTATCAAGGTCTTGCCAAAGCCAAAGAAAGGAATTACAGAAAATATCAGACAGAGAAATGTAAAAATGAGTGGATAGCAGCTCTGAAAAATAAATCTAGGCTTTTTTCACAAAAAAGAAACAGTTATTGAAAAAGACTTGTAGCAGACAATAGTGGATCTTCTAAAAATCTATGGAATGTTATTAATAAAGTCCTTTGTAATCAGGTCACTGGTCAGTCATTGAGTGAAATTGTTGGTTTAGATTCGTCTCAATTCTTAATTCTTAAATGATAAAGTAAATAAAATTAAACAGTCTACCAATGTGAGTAATTGTCCGACTATTTGTCAAGCTCAGTACAATGGGAATTGTTCTTTTCCTGACTTTATGCTTCTAACAGAATCTGACGTTAAAAAAATTGTACTCAGTTTGCCATCAAAAACATGTATGATAGATGTCTTTCCGACCCATATTTTAAAAAAATATATTGATTTATTCATCGTTTTTCTTACCAGCATCTTAAATCTGAGTCTGAGCAGTGGCACATTTCCTAATGGTTGTAAGCATGCTATGGTTTATCCAGTATTAAAAAAAGTGAATATGGATCGAAATGATTTGTCTAGTTATAGACCAATTTCCAACATCATTTGAAAGTAAACAACCTGCTACCAGTTCACCAGTCTGGATATCGCCGCTATCATTCAACGGAAACTGCACTGCTTTATGTGTTTTCTGAGTTGTTTGCTGCTTTGGACAAACAACATGTGGCTCTAGTCGCGTTTTTAGATATGAGTGCGGCATTTGATTGTGTAGACCATCAGATTCTCTTGGAAAAATTGGTTCATGATTATGGTATTTCCGGTACTGTTATCAAGTGGTTCAGATCATATCTGTTTGACAGAAAGCAACAAGTAGTCTTCAATAATGTGTTATCTAGTGAAACGATTTTGACATCAGGAATGCCACAAGGTTCAGTGCTTGGGCCTATTCTTTTTATCATGTATACCGCTGAAGTTTTTAAAGTAATTGGTAATTTCGGTTTTAAATATCATGCCTATGCTGATGATATTCAGATTATAGTTAGTAATAAGCCAGAATTACTGCAATCTGAAATCAACAATTTTGTAACTTGCCTAAATAACATAGATAATTGGATGTCAAACAATGGTCTTAAATCAGCAGAAGTCAAAACTTGTTCCAATAGGTACATGGCAGCAGCTGATGAAACTTAATATCGATTTAGTGAAAATAGGAGATGTTAAAATAGAATTTAGTGACAAAGCAACTAATCTGGGTTTCATTCTTGATTCTAGATTATCGATGCATGATCATATAAAGATGATAACAAATTCTTGCTCCGGACAGATTCGAGAACTCTATAAACTCCGTAAGTCATTAGATAAATCTGCTATTCATACCTTGGTGCATGCATTGGTTCATTCACGATTGGACTATTGCAATGGTCTGTTTTACGGTTTGCCAGATAGGTCTATTTCTGCAATTCAATCTAATCAGAATAGAGCAGCCAAATTGATTGTTGGAGGTCTCAAATTTAACCATGTTACTTCAATTCTTAAGAGCCTTCATTGGCTTACTATAAAGAAAAGAAAAGAATTAAATATAAAATATGTATTTTAATGTATAAAACTGTGCATGGCTTGTTACCAAGATATGTGATAGATAAAATAAAAGAAAAGTCTATAATGACGAGTGGTATGAACCTTAGATCAGATGATGGCATTTTGCTGGTTGTACCTGATGTCAATCTGCAGATAGCATCAAGAGATTTTGCAGTATCTGGACCAATGGTTTAGAACAGCTTACCGAGATCTTTTAGAACTAAAGATTTGAAACTTGATGATTTTAAAAAGAAACTTAAAACTTACTTATTTTCGCTTTGATTTTGTTGTTAAGTGAATAATTATTTGTTTGTTACTACCGCCATTGACTGTACTTTTTTCTTTTTTGACTTTGTTTGATTATAAATAGCGCTTTTGAGAACTTTTTGATTTTAATTAGCGCTTATAAATGTTTCATTAATAATAATAATAATAATATATATGTATATATATATATATAAAGCAAATTATAACAAGAAAATATGTCATTGTTCAAAGAGATGCGTCTTTAACAGCTTTTTAAAACTGTTGACGGGGAGACCAAGCTGTCGCAAGTAGCTCGGTAGACTATTCCATACTTCTAGACCAGCAATAGGAAAATTTCTTGATCCGATCTTCAAGTGTACCGATATATATATATATATATATATATATATATATATATATATATATCAATCCTCTGGGCTCCGTTGTCGCGGGTTGATGCATCGGGGCATACGAAATCAGTCACTTTCCTCAGTGAGCCGGTAATTCTCGAGCATCGTCTGTGACACCACTGCTGGCATCGTAGGTATTTGATCGAGTTGCTTCCAACTCCAGCCCACAACACCGAACATGGCCTATGACCAGAGACTATAAGCTCAGCGGTACCATCAGTGATCACAGTTTTTGTTTTGTCAAGGTTTACCTTTAGTCCGTGTTCGGCAAGTTGGGTATTCCAGACCTCAAACTTTCTGGCTGCGTTTTGTTCCGAGGCCGCGTCAGAACGATAACCTCGGCATATATCACATTCCATATGTTATCTGGTGGACGCCGACGTTAATATCAAATTCATTCGTGTTACCGGCTGTTGTGCTGACCAGAGTTTTTGTGTTAGAGCACATTGCCATAATCAGCTGAATCAAATATTCGGAAACAAGCTGTCTACGTAGATATAGATGGCATCAATGGTGGATCTTCCTGCCATGAAGCCGTACTGGTAACCACCTAATGAAACGCACGACAATAGTCTTCTCTCAATGACTTTTCAATAACTTTCAGGAGATGTTCCAGAAAACGTATACCCCGATATGAGGAGCATTTCAGTGGATCTCCTTTTCTTTTATATATCAGCACAGTTGTGCTACTGTTCCATTCCGCTGGTAGTATCGATTAACTCCACATCTCCCGACAGATGTGTAGGAGGACTCTGAAGCCTGCCCCACCAGATGCCTTGATGATATCATTTGTAAGTACAGACGGACCAGCCGCTTTACACACCTCCATTGCTTTCAACGCATCCGTAAGCTCCTTAACCGTGATGCCCTGAATCGGTCCTTTTACCGGAAGTGCATCAAAGTCCACCCAATAAGGTTGGTTTCATTCAATAACTGATCGAAGTAATCCTTCCAGTGATCCTTCACTTCATTCTGGAAGGTTATTATGGTGCCTTTATTATTCTTTATGCATGTGGCACCAATTATATCCTTTTTCAGTCTTTTGGCCTGATTTGCTATTCGGTAGAGTGACCGAATTTGTTCGCCTTTACTTCCAGACAGCCATACCTTGCATTGATTTGCACGAGCTATCGCAACCTGACTTTACGCTTCTGTGTTCTTTGATCGGTATGTCTTTTGATCTTCATCAGTCTTCGTCTTCTACTATTGTTTGAAAGCTGCTTTCTTACTGGCAATAGCATTCTGCACCATCTCATTCCACCACCAAGTTTCGTGGTTGTGCTGGCGTTTTGGTCCAGATTTTCCACATACAGCTGTTGCAGCGTTCAATAGGGTGTCCTGAAAAGATTTCCAAGTTATGTCTACCTTCTCCAGACAATCCAGCTGTGCCGATACCAACTCCTCGAATTTCTCCTTGTTTCCATGTTTTTATCCTAGCAGGCATTCGATCAGTCACAGGACGTGATCGTTCCATGGTCATATCGGCGACCAGCAATCGATGTTGAGAAGTGCATGCTTCGCCTGGAATGACTTTTGTATTCCTGAATAGTCGTCTGTGTTGTTGTCTGACGTGTGTGCATGACATCCCGCTTTTATATGTGATCAAATGTTCTGCCCTCTTTTTGAAATAAGTATCAAACAGGGAGAGTTCATGGCTTTCAGCAAATTCCAGAATCCGTATACCGTCTTCGTTTTGAGACCCGTAGCCAAAGCCTCCATGGACACCGTGGAACCCATTTGCTTTATCTCCAACATGGCCGTTTAGGTCGCCACATATCAATGGTATCTCTGATGATGGCGTTTTCCTGACAGCATCTGAGAGTGTAGTTCAGAGGTCATTTTTGGCGTCTTCAGATTCACCTGTCTATGGTGCATATGTAAAGAAAACAGTCAGAACCTGTTTTCCAATTCTGAGTTTGATCAGCATTAGGTGTGAGCTGATTCGAACTACCTCCAGTACATTTTGTGCCAATGATTCCCGTATGAAGATTTCCACTCCATTTTGGGCTGTCTTTTGGCCATTTCAGAACAACTTTTAACTCCCAATGAGAGAGACACCATTTGATTTCAATCTTGTTTCCTGCAGAGAACAGATGTCAACCCTTCGCCTTTCCAGCATGTCGACGATCTCTATGGAACATCCAGTAACCGATCCAGTATTTAAAGTGCCAAGTCTGATCATCCAGGAGGGAACGCCCGATTTTCCGCAAAATCCCTCCACTGTTGCGTACTTCCTGGATATTGTCGCCTCTTGACCATTTAAGGTCTTTTGGGGAATAAGGGATTTTTTCTTTTTTTGTGATGACATGGAAGATTTTTGGGTCAAAAAATTTTTATACCTGGAATTGCCCAATTCCTAACGACAACCACTAGTTATAAGCAGTGGGGCCTAACCTTTTTGCTGGAAGCACACAAGGCAGTGTGGTTGCAGTTTATCTCGTGCCGAAGAGAGCACTGTTGTAAGCAGTGCACCTAGCCTTTGGGTCAAAGGTTCCTGTTCCACAAGGCAGTGCATTAAAAATCGAAGATCATCCGCTTATGGAGCCGTTGTCCTAAGATCCTCCGCCTCTTTCATCGGTGTTTTCTTTCTTCAGGTACAGTTGGTTCGCGGCATATTATTCCGTATTATTCGATGCAATCCTAGAAGGTTTCCCTGCCCAGGACTTTCCCCTATCCACCACCTGGCGGCGCGCCTAATAGCCAGTGCACCCCAGCATGAAGTATGTAAATATATATATATATATTATATATATATATATTTTCTGGTAATTATTTGCATTTTTCCGAGTATCTCAACAGTTTTTTTCGTTATTTTTCGGATATTTTGTTGGCAAACATTAAAGGAAGTCTAATTTCGTTTGAATTTATTTCTAAATTTTTGTTACAGTGGAAAATTTTTCGTTTTAGTTTGTTTCTTTTTGCTCATAAATAATTTTTGTTGCCTCATTAATATTAATGTCCATAGCTTACGTGCTTATAGCTTGATATCCATTTATAGCGCTTATGTTTAAAAGTACCTATTCAGTACTTTTCACCAATCACATTTTGTTTACTGTGCGATCGCGTAGTGTGCACGTATTGTTTTCACGGCCTCCGGATAGTGTGCACGCATTGTTTTCACGGCCTGTGCTGCTACCTCTGGATAGTGTGCCCGCATTTTTTCATGTCTGTGCTGCTGTTTCTAGATAGTGTGCAAGCATTGTTTACCTGTGCTGCTGTCTCTGGAAAGTGTGCACGTATTGTTTTCACGGCCTGTGCATATCTGTCTCTAGATATGGGTTCTAGAAACAATTGTTCCGTTTGTAGTAAAGCTGGTAAGGATGTTCCAACTACCCACTGTTGATTGTGTGAATGTAAGTTGCATTATACGTGTGCTGGTAGTGATGACATTTCTGGCCAAATGGCAAAGTCAAAAAATATAGTGGTTTTTTGCAAAACATGTCTTGACAACTTAAAGTCTCTTAAAAGCGTTAATAGTGTCGTTGAATCATTTAAAGAAAGCCAAGCCATGATTTCTGCTAAAATTGATAAAATTATTGATCACAGCACTGATTTTACTAAGGAAGTAACTCAAATAAAAAATGTAATTTTGGATAAGGAAACAACCACAATTAATAATAAAGATCTTCAATACGAAATGACAGTGTTGAAGAATGAATTGAAAACTGGTTGGTTTGATGCGGTCAAAAAAATGGTGGTTTTTAACTTGTTGAATCTGAAGTTAAAAATGTTAAAAAAAAGGTTGGATGACGATAGTGAAACAATGTAAAGGCAAAACAATATTAGGATAATTGGTTTGAAGAAAAATGAGCCATTGGAAGAGGATAAAAAATCGGTCTTCAGGTTGTTACAACAATGGGGACACTTCAAATATAGTTGTAAATTATTACATAAAAAGCATAGGGAAAAAGGACGATAAGACAATTTGTCCTATTTTAATATGATAGGATATCAATCAGACCTGATCTGACACCTGATCAATGTACTGAGTTGAACAAACTGTTGATTGAGGCAAAGAAAAAAGAAACAAAAGACAAAGGAGTTTTTTATTCAGAGTTCGAGGCGAAATCAATCAGTGGCGAATAGTGAGTTACAAAAAGCCAAATTAAAAGACGACTCTAACCAATTTACAAGGCTTATTAAATATTCGCTCTTTTGGTAATAGTGTAGATGCTATTTATGATTTATTATGTGATAAACTTGATGTATTGATTTTAACTGAGACCTGGCATGGTAGTTCTGATGACGTTTGTGTGGGAATGTTTATGCCACTTGACTATGTTTTTGCTGATTTTTTAAGGATTAATGATCCTTTGCATGGTGGTATAATAATATTTTTTCGTGAAAATATCCGTCATTTGAAAGTTAATCTACCGTTGCTGGATTCGTTTGAAGCGGTTGCGCTCAGGTTATCATACATATGTTATTTTCTTTTTGCTGTATATAGACCAGGTTCACAAATGGTAACAGTTAAGTTTTTTGAGGAGCTAACCCTCACTTTAGAGTATTTATTAAATTTTTGTGATCATTTAATTTTGTGGGAGATCTCAACATTTACGTTGAAAAACATTATGATCTGCATGCTATGCGATTAAAAGAAATTTTTACATTATTTAATATGGCTAACATCGTCAGTGAGCCTACGCATTTATTGGGTGGCACTTTAGACTTGGTTGTCCCTACTGACAACTTATCAATTGTAAGTTGTTCAGTTCTGCCTAGTGGTGTCATTTCAGACCACAGTTTTATTGAAGCGAGTAAGTTGCTTAGAAGTCCTGAGCATAACATAAAACTGCATCCTTGCGTGCTTTTGAGCAAAAGGCTAGGCTCACCGCTTATAACTGGTGGTTGTCGTCAGGATGGGTGGTCAAGGGGTGCTAAGAATCCCTGGGAAGTATGCAGTAGCGAAGGGATGTTGCAGAAAAATTCAGAATGGCCCCTCTATGGTACTTAGACTTGGAACGTTCGTTGTTGGATCACAGACTGGCCGCAGCATGGTAATCGCAGAAATGATCGAGCGTAGAAGGACTGACATCTGCTGCCTTCAGGAGACCCGATGGAAAAAGAATGATGTCTGTCATATCAATTCAGACAAAGATAAATAAAAACTATTCTGGAATAGTCAAAAGACGGCCGAAAATGGTGTTGGAATTTTTGTCAAAAAACCGCTAGCCCAAGAAGTACTGGATATTAAAAGGATTAACTCATGTCTCATGTGGATCAAGATTCGCCTAGAAAAGCAAACAATGATTATTTTTTTCTGCATACGCACCACAGACAGGCGAATCAGAAGAGATGAAAAATGACTTCTGGGCTGCGTTCTCTGACACCATCTCAACAATACCAAAATCTGAAACATCCTGATTGGAGGTGATCTCAATGGCCACGTTGGAGAGAAAACAGATGGCTTTGACAACGTACATGGCGGTTTTGGCTATGGAGAACGGAATGAAGATGGCAACCGCATCCTTGAGTTTACTGAAAGTCACGGGTTTTGTTTACTGAACACATATTTTAAAAAGAGGTTGGAACTTCTCGTAACATACAAAAGTGGACCATCAGCCACGCAAATTAATTTTTTAGCTGTCAAGCAACAGCACCGAAGGCTATTCAAAAATGTCAAAGTTATACCTGGCGAATCATGTGTCGCCCAACATAGACTCCTTGTGGCAGACCTGGTTGTCAAACTGCCAAAACATAAGTCTAAACAAATGCCTCGGAAAATCAAAACGTGAAAGCTGAAAAGCAATATTCATCCAGAAAAATTTCAACAGATTGTCGCCACACAGTTAGACCACCAATCGCAATCAAGTACAGATTGGAGTACATACAAAACCGTTTTGATAAACGCAGCAACTACAGTTTGTGGGAAAACTGGTACTAAACGCCAGCATGAACGGGACACGTAGTGTTGGAATGACAGTGTACAAAATACAACAGCTGAAAAGAAAGCTTCATACAAGCAATGGCAAAAATCAAAGTCTGTTGATGACCCCAAAATTTTCCGTGAGAAGAACAACTATGCAAGACGTCAAGTCGCACTGGCTCGGACAGATCAGTTCAGAGAGTGGCTCACTAAAACAAAGGTGAACAAATGAAATCTCTGTATCGTATAGCAAAACAAGCAAAGCGTACGAAAAAAGACATAGTTGGTGCCTCATGTATCAAAAACGACAAAAATGAGATGGTTCTTGAACAAGATGAGATCAAGCTACAGAGGAAAGAATATTTCAACCGTCTGTTAAATGAAACAAATCCCATCAATGTCAACCTTGACGCTCCACCCATCGAAGGTCCAATTCCAGACATCACGGTAGAGGAGCTTCAGAAGCTCTGAAAGCTATGAAGGATGTGTTAGAATAGCGTAAGCGAGTAAAGCGCATCGACATTATTGTAGTAGTGATTAATTTTTAGTGTGTATATGATTTTTTATAAAACTTTCTTCTTCTTGTTGTTGTAGTTATTAACGTTTAATGTACGTTTAATAAAATTATAAATCTTGTTGCATCGTCGTTATCATGAACTCTGTTACTTCAACAGGTTATGGGCCCAGTGATGCCATACAAGGTAAATGGAATAGATTGTTTTTCGATGGCGACGAACGAAAATATGAACAGTGGGAGGTAAAGTTTCTCGGATACATGCGACTCCGAAAATTGAAAGAAACTATTTTGCCGACTGACGGAAAAGAGCCAAATGCAGCGAAAAATGAAGAAGCATTTGCGGAATTAATTCAATTTTTGGATGATAAAAGTTTAGCACTAATTATGCACGACGCTGTAGACGATGGTCGCAAAGCACTTGAAATACTCCGTAAACATTACGCAGGTAATGGAAAGCCTCGTATTATTTCATTGTATACTGAACTGACGTCTCTTCGTAAATTAACGTCTGAATCTATTACAGATTATGTCATTAAAGCTGAAAAATCAGCAACTGCTCTTCGTAATGCTGGAGAGGAAATAAGTGATAGTCTACTTATAGCAATGGTTTTAAAGGGGTTACCTGTAGAGTATAAACCCTTTGTAGTGGTTATCACTCAGAGTGATAAAGAAATGACGTTCATGGAATTTAAAGTTGCACTGAGAAGTTTTGGTGATACAGAAAAATTTCACTCAACAGATGAGGAATCAGTTATGATAAAAAATGTTAACAAACAAATGCATGTTCACAAAAATTTTGCTAACATCACATGTTTTGCTTGTGGAAAATCAGGTCATAAATCCTACAATTGTAGTGAAAAGTTTAAAAAGAAGTTGTGGTGCAGTTATTGTAAAGCATCTAATCATACAGACAAAGCATGTAGAAGAAAACATAATAATTCATCAACAAAACAAGTGAGAGATGAAAAAGCTCCAGAACATGATTTTATGTTTACGTTAGTTGATGATTTAAATGATGATAAATCTTGTTTTAAATCGTTACTTGTTGACTGTGGCGCCACCAGTCATGTGATAAATGATGCATCAAAATTCATTAGCTATGACAAAAATTTTGACCCTAGTAAACATTTTATTGAACTTGCAGATGGCACAAGGTTAAATAATATTGCTCTAAAAAGGGGAAACGTGAAAATGAATATGAATACTTTTGATGGCCGAATAGTTACTGCTGAATTGAAAGATGCACTTTACGTTCCATCCTACCCGCAAAATATTTTTTCTGTACAATCAGCTACTGAAAATGGAGCAACAATTACTTTTGGTAAACATTCTGCTAATATGACTGCCCCTGATGGAACAAAGTTTGATATCAAAAAACATGGCAAACTATACTATTTGTATACAAATAAATCAACAACAAAACAATCAGGAAGTTTAAAACATTGGCATGAAATCATGGGTCACTGCAACACCAATGATGTTTTGAAATTGGAAAATGTTGTAGAAGGTATGGAAATTACAGATAAATCCAGTTTTAGATGCGACATCTGTAGTATGGGAAAGATGTCTCAATCTCGAAACAGGGAAAGTGATACTCGTGCTACCTTTCCTCTAGAATTAGTTCACAGCGATTTGACTGGCATCATCAAACCAACTTCACTAAATGGATTTCAATATGCAATGACATTTATAGATGATTTCACTGGAATCATTTTTCTCTATTTCCTGAAACAAAAGAGTGATGCTGTTAGAGCAACAAAATGTTTTTTTGCTGATGTCGCACCTTATGGCAGTGTAAAAAGATTAAGAACTGATAATGGTACTGAATATACATCAATGGAATTTAAATCACTGTTGATTCATCACAGCATCAAACATGAAAGGTCAGCACCGTTTTCACCGCATCAAAATGGTACAGCCGTGTTTACAGGATGGCGTACGTTGTTTGAAATGGCTCGTTGTCTTCTTTTGAATGCAAATCTGCCAAGAGAACTCTGGTGTTATGCTGTAAAAGCTGCATCGTTCATCAGAAATCGTTGTTATAATCCAAGAACAGGTTTAACACCGTTCCATTTGTTTACAGGTAAAAAGCCGAATTTAAGCAATATGCATATTTTTGGTACCACATGTTTTGCGTACAAACAAAATAAGATGAAACTTGATGATCGCAGTGAAGAAGGTATATTTGTTGGATACGACAAAGAAAGTCCAGCTTATTTAATCTACTTTCCAGACACAAACAAGATACAGCGATGTCGCTCTGTAAAATTTACAGATGATGTTTTAAATAAAACTATTAACCAACAAAAAGCAAATGACAACAATGCGCAAGAAGACGAGGAAGTGAACACAGATAATAATCGTGAAAGTCAGGTTGTTCAAACTGTAAACAGATATCCCAAAAGAGATAGAAAACCGCCGAAGCGTTTTGATGAATACTATCTGAATAACGAAATTGAAAATGAAACAGACTATTGTTGTAAAATGTCTATTACATCACAGACTTACAGTGAAGCAATGTTATCACCATATTCCGCTGATTGGTATAAAGCAATGAAAATTGAAATTGATTCCTTAATAGAAAACAACACATATGAACTTAAAAAATTGCCTGAAGGCCGAAAGTCAGTGGGGGGGGGGGAAATGGGTTTACTCCATAAAATTGGATAAAGATGCTAACGAACAATTCAAAGCCCGATTTGT